AAAAAAAAAAAAAAACACCCTGATAGCAATTTAAGAAACAATAGATTCAACTCGCGCTGCCGGCTTTGCTACTTGAAGTGTCATTTTCCACAACCAGGCAAGTTTTTTTTTTTCCTCTCTCTCTTTTTTCTCCTTCTCTCCCAACCAAAGATGTTTCTTTCCTTTCAGTGCGTGTAGATGAGGACGCTGGTTGTTGCCGTAGACAGATACACCGGAGGGGGGGGAAGGGGAGAGAGAAGGAAAGAGGAAGGGGGGAGGGAAAGAGATAGAAAGAGAAAGGAGAGGAGGAAAGAGAGGGGTGGACCCTGCTGGATGGAGATTCTGTTTTCTCCTTGCTAAAATAGAAGTGATTTGCAGGCTTTCCCTATGGAATCCAGTTTGACTCTCCCCAGAGCTAAACACAGGCACACTAACCCCAAAGGGAGGAGGCGGGGCCCGCGCAGCCTGGCCACGCCCCTTCTTTGCATAACGTCATCCTTCCGCCTTGCCGCAGCCAATTGCAGCTCGGGAACTAGCTGGTTCACAGAGCCAGGCTACACTCCCTCATTAACATCCTTCTCCCTGTGGCACTGGGGAGCCAGCCAAAGTTCCTGGCAAAAGTGGTGAGCGCCGGGAACGCGGAGCACCCGCATCTGGGCTGGAAAGGAGCGGGCCTTGAGGATCGGGAAATAGGGCGGAGGGAAGGAGATGCAGGTATCCTTCCCAAGGATTTGAGTTGAGGGTCTGCATCGTGACTGTTGCAATCCCTAAGCATTCTTGCTGCGCCCTGAGTGCGCTGGAGGCGTACAGGCTGCGTCTTCCCAGGGCGGATGCCAGGTCCTGCTTCGCTGTCTGGGACGTCGGGGGCAAAAGTGGAAGAGACAGGCAAGCCCAAGCAGAAAAGGCAGGATGCGCATCCCAGGTGCCCACCTCTTCGCTTTGAAACGGGGGTGGCGGGATGGAATCTGTCTTCGTGAGGTCTCGACTTGAGAGCCCTGGAGGGACGCTGTCTCCACTCTGGGAGTGGTAGATGAGTCCAAGGACCCCGAAAATGGGGCTTTAGTAGGAAGTCCCCAGGGAGCGGGAGACCCTGACTTTGTCCCCAGCCTGGCCTCTGAAATGTTTCTGGTTGTACTGCTAATCCAGAAGGCGCTGGTGTTAGGCAACTGTTGTTAATTGCTCACTTCTCACCAGCAGCCCCTGAGGTGTGTGAATGGAGGATGAATCAGGGGCTGTGCCACGGTGCGAATCTAAATAGCCTCAGATTCAATCCCCAACTCCCTTTCCTTCTCCCAAAAATAGTCTGGGTTTTTTTGTTTGTTTTTGTTTTTGCTTTACAGTAACAACCAAAGCAGCAGCAACACATGCCTTCTCTGATTACCTGGGGGGGGAGAGAGAGAGAGAAATGTAAAAGGAAAGAAAGAAAGAGAGAGAGAAAGAAAGAAAGAAAGAAAGAAAGAAAGAAAGAAAGAAAGAAAGAAAGAAAAAGAAAGAAAGGGAAAAGAAAGAAAACTGTCTTCTACTTCAGGCCTTTTGGCATATAGTGTTGTGGCTGGGGAGGAAATAGCTAGCTGTTTCTGGGTAATATGCCCCATCATTTTTTTTTAAAGCAGGTTGCAATGTCTAGCAAGCACACAGTGAACTTCTGTTTCATTACCCTCAAAGGAACTCCCTGACTGCAGCCAAATCTGCTAAGGACTCCTTCGGGGAAATTCTCTGCCAGAAATCCAGGTCCCCCTTTTGCTGACCTTCCTTTGCCCCTTGATTTAGGAAACCTATGGGGGTCAGTGATAGGAAAGTATACATGCCTCTAAAAAAGACAAGCAAGAGTTATGTTTTGTGGGTCTGGCAGAGCAGGAAAGTGGAGACACTTCCTGATTCCTAAAACTAGATAAAAGTGTTCTAGGCCTATGGATACAGAGCCACCGTCCTCAGAACAGCTTTATCTTCTAACCAGCAATCAGACTGTTTATCTGTACCACATATGTGCTGAGGACTCTCCCTGGTACCATAATCAATGCCATCTCTTCCAAGACATACCCTCAGAGATTGACCTGCTTTGTCCGGACCCCCATAGCATCTGCCAGAGTTACTGACACACAGTAGGTGCTTGTAGAGAGCTAGATCCTCCCCATCTCTATAGAATTTAAATGAACAATTGAAAGTAAGCCTACTAAAAACTTCCCAAAGCTCCAAGTTGAAGTTGCAGGTCTAGTGTCCTCCCAGCCTAAGGTGTCCACAGAGCCTGTCCCGCCCCTTGGCTCAGAGAGGGTCCTCCAAGGAAGCAGAATCAAGAAGCAGAAGTCACCCTCCTAACAATGAGTCCCAGAAAGCCTTAGCTATGATTCAGGCCTCTCTTTAACTTCTGGAACCTCCATTATTCTCTCCAGTAAAGAAACTGCAGGGTTTCCAGTTGCATGTAATGGGGTACATGCCCCAGTGATGGGGAGCACACAGTGAAAGAAGAGATCACAGCATGGCAAAGATCTCTGCCAAAAGAGATGCAGTCACTCTGAGGATCATGATCAGCCAGAGACACAGCAGAGAGATTTCTGGAGATCACGTGCAAAGGTTGTTGGTGTCAGTAAGCACCTGAGATTTACAATCCCCAAAGAGAATCTGGTATAGAGATAGATGCCTTCAGCAGCCCAAGCCCAGAGACAGTCTCTCCAGGAACTGAATATGAAGGAGGTAATTTCCATATCCATCCACCAAGCCAGAGTGGAAAAAGAAGAAGAAAGGAGGCAGGCAGGGGTCTTCTGATGCTACTGATTCCCTTTGACTGCACAGGCAGTAGACACCCCACTTCGACAGCGAGTGTGCTTTATTTCCATCAAGCAGAGAGTATCCTAGCGTTTCTTCTGGGTGTCCTTGTGCTTTCAATCTGGTTTTGCATCCTGTAATAAATATTTAAGTAGAAGGAGGCTAAAAAGAAAGCAGAAAAGAGAGGGGGTGGGGGACAGAAAACATAATGACACCCAGGCTGGCGAACGAATAGCTATTTGTGAGGGTATGTGTGGATATTCTCTGGTGGATGTTGAACTAGTGAACGTAGTTTGAAACTCTGAGAAAGGAATTCTTAAATACTTCTAAATCTTTCCCTCCTGTGAGGTTAGTGTCACTTCCAGAAACAAAGCTTGTATGGGGGGGCGGGTTAACCGGGAAGCAGGTTTTCAGACTGGCTTCATTCTCTCTCTCTCTCTCTCTCTCTCTCTCTCTCTCTCTCTCTCTCTCTCTCTCTCTCTCCATATCTGTGACTCCACTTTAGAGCAGTTTATAAGCTGGGTTCATCCAGCCAGCAGCATGAGGGAAAGACCTACCTGTTGACACCCAGATTTCCAGACCTTGTTCGCAGCTGCAGGAACAGAGTCTCTGGCAATGATGCCTGGGAGTCTATTTAAAGACACTTGGTCACTTTTGACTTCTCTCATCTCTGAGAGAAGCAAGGAAGGGAGTTGGGGGAAAGGAAAAAGCCTGAGCAGGAGAAGAGAGCACAGCAGTTTTATCTAGAAAAACCAGCTGTAGAGTACCCTTTCCTCTGGAATGGCCTTCCCCACTGAGCTTCTGGACATCTCTTCAGTGGTCAGGGTCAGTAGTCACCAGGCTACTCCACAGGGCCAGCAAGGGTTGCTCAGTTTTTGAGGTCTTCCATGCTAGAGGAAGCTGAGGCCAGAGAACAAGCAGTCCCTCCCTCTGGACCCATCAAGCCCAACTTCTCCCCCCTTGGCCATCCCAAACTTCTGGAGGCACAGATTCCCTCTCCTGGAGGGCATCAGACAGAGGATGCAATAATTTCTAGGGGCTCTAGTAAAAACACAGCGGAACTGGGGCCAGAGGGAACGTCCCAAGGAAAGAGGGGATCGGCTCTGCTCGCCTGCCCCCAGGAGGCCAGGCTGGGGACTTGTCACTTCGCGCAGTCTACATTCCTCTTCTAGGACCGACCCCACCCCCACCCTGGGACTACCAGTCCGGGAAGCACCCCCTCACCTTTTTATTGCCTCCTGAAAGGACGCGCGCTTCCTTCAATGCTAGGAGGATGCGGAAAGCGGCGCGGGGAGGGGGGGAACCAAGCCCGAAAACAAGAAGTCCCTCCGCTTGCGGCGCGCTCTAGAGCAGACGCGGGGCCATGGGGAGTCGGAGATGCTCCGCAGGGATGGGCAGAGGCCACCGAGCTCCCAGAGAACCTGGCAGAGTGGGCGGCGACCTCGAGCCCTGGGAAAGTGAGGACCGCTGGCGACGGAGAGGCACTGCGGACCCGGCGGAGCGGCGGGACCCACGCGCCTGCCAAACCCGGTCCCGGTCACCCGGTGACATCCACCCGCCGCTCTCGCGGAACGCGTGGGAGCCGCAGGCCAGAGCTCCACCGGAAATCCGGACTCGGATCCCGGCTTGCGACCCCCTCCCCGCCCAGCTCTCCGGAAAACTCCCCACTTTGCTCATCAGTCCCTGGAATCACACCTCCCCTCAATAGTAGGGACGGGGAAACTGAGGAACAGACAGACACGGAAAGTAGGTAGAGGCAGAAAAACAACCTCGCAGGGTCGCACAAGTGACAGTGCTCAGTCTGCATGGGACCAGGAGACCTTAGGACCAGGAGGCCCGGCCCAGTTCCCCCCACAGTGGCCCTTCCCCAAGCCTGTGGCCTCT